TTATCAACATAGGCAATTGATGAAGAGGTTCTTCAGTAATATAAATTTTTAAAAAATTAACATTAAATAGAATGATTTGACTACCTTAATGATTTTATTGATGTTCTCAATAAAGTCTTGTATTAAAAAAACTAATGTATTGATTATTCAATTGTGATATGCCATATGTGCATTGGGATTTTTGCTTTTTCTGATAGGCAAAAACACCGTTGTACTACATTCATTTTTAGAGAGAAAACGCAAAAGCTGCGTGAGATATAACTACAGTCTCTTTCCGTAAGGATAAAATTATAGTAGAAATAATAAACAAAATTTTTAAGTGTAAAAAAATGTTTAATTTTTTTTAATAAATTAAATATGTGAAATTTTTATTGAACTAATTGTTTGCTAATATTATTCCCATATTATGAAAATATTTTTCTTTTTTTAAACGTACCCTAAAACATCCGTTGAAAGGGATTGTCTATAAAGAGGTCATTTATCCTTTGTACATGAAGGTCATAATCATTTTTGTCCCTTAAATTTCAAAATGGGTGGTTGTAAGAATGTCATTGAATAAGTACAAAGTTCAAAAAAAAAAACAAAGAATTCTTAGACTTGACTCATCTTAAACCATCCAATTGACATATAATGAGTGGGAATAGTAGTCACCTCATGCACCAAAGATAAATAGCCTTTTTATAGAAAATCATCCATTGAATGGCTGAAGCATGGAAGTGCTTCTCTCTTTGGGCCAAATGAAGAGTCTCTAATGCGAATCTAACACTCACAATTTTGTTTTTCTTCAATCCTAGGAAAAGTAGAAACAATAATATCCCCTTCCTCTCTCTCCATGTTAAAAGTCCCCAAAATTATAATCTTGGGAGATAGAGTAGTAACTGTGACCAAAAATATCTACCATGTTTCACATTGTACGCTCATGTCTTCTTCTTTTTTTCGAAAAATGGGTTGGGGCCCAAATCCCCATTGATTTCTCCAAAAAAAAAAAAAAGAGTAATATGTGTTTATGCACAGGTAGGGAGGTTGAGTCTTTACGGAGACAAGGAGAGAGGTTGAACATGTAATACTTGTGATTTTAGCCGACCCCAAATAATTGGGAGAAGGCTTTGATGATAATGATGTATTGTTTGATATGTATATAAGTCATGTATTATGAAGCCACACTCAATGGGTGTACACACGAGCAGCTACTTTCAACATAACATGAATACATGCAACGACTTGAGTTGGAGAGTCATAGATGAAAAGAGATTCATGTAACTAACATTTAGACCCAGCTTTACTCAAATTTACTAGTTCACACTAAGAATGGAGAACTCTACCCCTTTTATGTCCGACTATTTGCATAAAAAGTTACCTACATATGTTTTATTTATGTCTAATCATTCAAAATAATGCATGCACCCAAATACAATTTTTTTATTGGGTCCAAATGGAGACGAAGTATCTTACTACTCGAATCCAGAACTGGCTAGTTCTGCCCGACATATGTTGAGGTGTTGCGACATTTAATGGGTGGACACATGTAATTTAAATACAGTAGGAACCTTAAGTGAGAGTCTTGGTTAGGCTACCTATTGTGGGGCAACTTATAAGAAAGGGGTTTGTGAAGCATGTAACTTCTAGTTAGCTCATCGTTAGAAAAACCGGGCGATCTAGTAACCACCCGGTTAGATCGGAATCAGTCTCTTGCCGGTTCCGGTTTCAGGCAGTTTTGATGATAGGCCTGAATTCTAAAAATAAAGATTAAAAAAAAATCTATAAATTCTTAAAAAAAAAAGGAATTTGATTTGTTAATACATTTTTTTTTATATTCTTTATATTATGGTAAATATTAAAAATTATTTTGGTCATTAATACGCACTTTTAAAATCCATTTTTCTCTTTAATTTTCACCTTCATTTGTATGCGTTTTGTTTTAATCATTTTTTGTATGTTTTTCATATTTTAATCGATTTTTTTTTGCATATTTTTTATTTTTTTGAACAATTTTTTGGCCGCCTAGGATTTGTCCTGTTATAATGGTTGAATCGTCCAATTTACCAATTAGGCCAGTTAAACCGCTTCCGACCCCATATTCAATTAACCGTTCCGGTTCGATTTTGTGCACACTGAGTTAGCTCAATCTCTATCTCTTTTTGTGCTCCTTGTTTCAAAACATAATTTAAAAAGGAAGCTCCCCAAGCCGAAAATCTCCTCCTACGCTCTCCCATAATTTTTAGAAGGGAAAACTCCCTATAGAACGGAATATCTTCTATTTGCCTCATAAAATACATTTTTATCCCATATCTATTGGAAATAAAGGTTGATACAATAATTTGAAGCCTAAAGTTAAGTGAATATTATCCTCACGCTTAAACAATATATATGTGAGGTATGTGCATCTCGGTAGTTCTATCTAAATAATTTTAATTTACTATATAAATTATAGTTATCCAGACCGAGCTGGACCAATTTGACTGGGAGTCGATGCCTTGGACCGTTTGGTTCAAAACGAAAACTAATTTTGTTTGAAAACTAATCATAACTGATACTTAAGTGGTTTTGGCGAATTGAACTGATCACATTAGTTATACAAAGTTGTACAACTATTTTAAATAGATTTCATATTTTAAAAAAATATTTTATTTCATTAAAAATTGGTCCAAACATTTCGACTGACATTCTAGATCTTGTTGTACTTGCTCAATTGTACTTTAAGTTGATAATTATAGAAACTAGATATTGGGTTTTCTATCTTGTATATTACAAGATATTAAGTTTCCGATATTGAGTTTTTTATTTTGTAGGATTACTATTGTAGTAAAATTTATTTTTTAAAAGACAATAATTGTAACTCTAGAAATCTTTGGTAAACTAGAGTAATCTCTTATGAATGAGATACTAGTTGACCTTCCGTGGACGTAGGCACCATTGCCAAACCACATATATGCCTTATTGGTCCTTCTCTTATCATATTTCTCTTATTGCAAAATCTACAACTTATAAGATAATGTTCAATATTCTATTTCCATATATCTCGGGGATATATTCGCTTCACTGTTTTTATTACTATGATGAAAATATTGTTTTGTGACATCAAAACTTTCGTGCTTAAACACTTGAAGATATGGTCCATTTATTGCCTCAACAAAATGGTGAAACAATGTCGTAGACCGCATTAACAAATTTCACTGCACATCTCTTGCTCGATTCTCAGGCATTTCCTCCTTTTTGTTGGGGTAGATTAGTAAGGATTTCATTTCCCTACCCGTTTTCAGAAATAGTTAATGGTTTTTTAATGTTTTAGTGGGATTGATAACCTTGATTAGTAGCTGAGACCCAGGTGGTGCTACTTCCACAACTCCAACCCATTCGCAAGCTGGGCTTGTACAATGACCTAATAGAACACCTATTAGGAGGTGTGAATTGGTTCAAATTGAATACTAAAAAAGATGGGCAAGCCCAACTTCCTAGATGCTTTGCTAATACCTCCTAGCAATCTTTAACTCCTTATGAGTGTTCTTCATTACTTATTTACTTCAAGGAAATTGTTGTATGCATTTGATGATGCATTTCTGCATTTGCCTCATTTGAGGCATAAAACATTCCTCCTAAAGATGAACGGCCCACTCTCCAAAAAAGTTAAAACTAATAGTTTAAATATTTTTTATAACTTATTATTTTTAATTTTTAAAATGTATTTTTATATACTTATAATCTCTATATTAAGGATTATATATTCCTTGAAACATAGGTCCAAAATCCTCTTAAAAATAAAATTTTAAGAGGGAACTCATTTCTACCTATGAGCCCAAGACTCATAGAGACGGTCCTTTTCTTTAGGCTCTTTTATGTCACTTTCGTTTCTCACTTGACCATTTTCATTGGTTTACTCATCTTGGAAACTTGCACCTTCCCATTTGGGAAAAGTTTATAAAGAGCCAACCTCAAAACTTTCAATAGAAGAGGTAGTTTTGATGCTCAAATATCATCAAATTGATCATTTCGCATTACGATGCATTGACATGAAAATATATGGATTTCAAGTTTTAAAAATAACACATCTTGTAACACATATTTGGACCGTCAATTTTCAAGATTTCTCATAGATCTGCTTGATCTACACTAATGTTAAAGCTTTAGATTTACAACTAAAGATGAAATATAATTTAAAGCTATGACAAAACATTTCAATATTGAAACCATATTTCTCAACATTATTTGAAGGTAGGCTCTAATTTGATTATTTAGAGCCTCGGCTCTATACAAACCGCACCCTTTTCTAAAATGACAGTTATACAATAAGGCTATTTATTGTTGATACAATGAAGTCACAATCAATATCAGTGTTGCCAATGAAATTTTTCATGGATCAGGTATGACATCCAAAATAAATTTTTTTGAAATATGTGACACACCTTTGATCATCGAATTTCACATTTGATGGCTAAGGATAAATGTGACATCCTTGTAAAAAATAACCATGGTCTTCTAGTATACAATCCTTATTATGCATTTTATTGAGGACACATTTTATATGACTATTAAAAATCTATTTTGAGATGGATTTTTGGATCCAATTTTTAAGGAGATAGATATGGATATAAAAAAAATAAATAATTTTTAAGAAATAAAAATAATAATTTTATGGAAAAAAAAACAATTCGACCATTAGTGTCCTAATTGCACCACCAGCATGAAACAAATTTCCTTGTATTAAAGGACCCGGATTCTACGCGGTCAAGCCCGGTTATGTAGAAATCCATGTTTTTTAATAAATCTATTTTTAATATGGATTTTAGGACTAAATTTTTAAGGAAATGTGTAATCTCTAATATGGAAATCACGAATATAAAAAATTAAATAAATTTAAAAAATTATAAATAATAATTCTAGTAAAAAAACACTTGGACGGAGAATTTCCATTGGTTTAGATGAAACACCTGCTTCATCTATTTTGAAGACGTAGAAATGCGGTCCAGGCCGCATAAAATAAATTTCCTTAATTAAATGTTTCGCAGTTGCTTCGACTAGTGGAGTTCCCACCTTCTCTCCTCTGCCCGAAGGTGGGCATCCCTCTCAGATCTGCTTTCAATGTTTTCATCAGCGCACATCTCTCTCTCTCTCCACGACTTGTGACAAAATGATGTCCCCTGGCTTATTCCCTCTGGCAATTTCCCCTTCTCGATACTGATCGCGCAATTCCTCTCTCTCTCTCTCTCTCTCTCAAACATGTTCTTTTTCCTGAAGAGTTTTCCAGAGAGAGGCTTTTCCACGTCCCAATTCTCACCGAAAACCTTCCATTCTCGCAATTGATTCAATAATCTTAGTGCTATTCTCTCTATCAGTGGGGACCATGTATTGGAACGGTATTCAGAATGGGCTGGCGGCAGCCAGACATGCCTGGTCTCGATTGCCGGAATCCGAGTCGGGCACTACTGATGATAGAGAAAGGGATGAATTTTCTTCTCGCCAATCCACCAGTGACTCGGTAGAGAGTCTTGACTATGAAATCATTGAGAATTATGCGTACCGAGAAGAACAGGTGTTTTGATCTGAAACTTGAATTCAAGCCCCTCTGGTTTATTGTGAGTTTATGATTGACTATTTTGTTTCTAAACCTAGAATTTAATTTTGTGTTTTGGATTCTGCAGGCGCAAAGAGGGAAGCTGTATCTTAGTTATTATGTGGGGGTGAAGTGGTTGTTTTCCCTTCTCATTGGGATCGGTAAGCAATTGAATCATGTTTATGGTATTTTAGAGGGAGAACGGGAGCGTGATTATAATGTTCTAGAGAGAGAACAATACCCATCATATATTTTTTACAACATGTATTGACTGCTAACGAAATAAACAGCCAATGAAAAACACCTATGTAACTCCATTTACTTCAGACAAATTGCCCCCTGATCCTTGTCTGGCTATTTCTTCCGCTTCTTGATTAATCTCTCTATATACATGTCTAAAGCTCACATTGTTACCCACACACGGTGAAAGTTGAACAAAGTGATCTAGCACGGTCTATATTGCTTTTAAATTTTTTTTTCTCACCAACTAGAACACTTTGAAATAAATAAATAGATAACCAAAAGTTGGTCACACTTGCTGCCACTAATTATGACTTCTTTTATTTAATAAATAAAACCCACACCATGTTTAAATACTGCAAACTACAAAGCAAGAAGATGGAAGATTACCTCAACCAGACTTAGTAGTTAGTACACTCTACACTGGGATTCTTCCTCCAACGGCGCATGGGATCAATGGTTTATCTCAAATCTTTGAAGCATGGGAAAGCTTTGGCTACAACCCTTAATCAATATGAGAGCAACATGGAATATCACATAAACCAAGCCTCAATACCTTGTATGTGTGGGGTGTGCCCCCTCCATGCCCCTATTTTTAACTCAAGAAATATTTTTCTAAGGAAGAAATATTCTTCTAAGAGAGATGAGAGATGTAGAGATTTGTGGGAGAGAGGGCCTCTATTTATAGAGTTTCCAGGGGTTAGGGTTTCCTTAGGGTTAACCATCTCGATGGAGATTAGATCCAGACCATTGATCACATGAGATATGTGGGGTGAGAGATCTGAGCCATTCAATCTTTCGATCAACTATCATTATTCAAAGAATGATGCAGAACTTTATCCTTCAGCTTCCTAAACCTTTATTCTATCAAATATAAAACATGAAAAATATCAGATAATATCTATCTTTGTATAAATCTCTTTATTTATACAAATTCCTTTTAGAAGTCCAATCTCCTTAGGATTTCATAAAACATATCATGTTAGTTGTTTCCATGCCTTGCTCATTAAGGCATATCAAAACAAAAGGACAACCCACTTTAAGTGGACGTGCCACCCATGTAGACCATGGGTGGTCCCCACGTACAGCCACATGGTTCCCATATTAAATATAATTTTTAAAATTACAAAATTGATTTTTAGAATAGGAAAAATAAATTTTATTTTTCTCTGAATATTTAAATACAAAATTTATTTTTTTTGTAAAAATAAAATATCCAGAGTCTCACAAAAATTCAAATAGTCAATTTAAAAATAAAAATAATTAAAAACAAATAATTTTGATAGGAATTAGATCCGTCTAGGTCTAGGAATTTGTAATATCGCTGAAGCATTCTATCTTCTACTGTGGACTATAATCTACACTTGCTTTCTCGCTTTCTCAAACTAACCCAGCAGTTCCCATGACCCACTGATCACCACATGGGTTAATGATTGGGTTATCAAAGTCAGCAAATAGGTCAGGGGACACAATCCCAGTCTATGCATTACAAGTTCTTCCCTAGAGATGAACCCATAGTCACTTAGACTAGATTCAACCATAGTAGCTTTATGGTGCATAGGGGCATTCTCTTGCATATGTACACGCTTCACCCTCAATGCTGGTTCACTTTCCTAATACGGCTATAAGATGTACATGTCGTATAATAGTTCAGTGATGAGGCTTTGGCCCTCGTCTCTAGAGGCCAACCATCACACACAAGGGTCACACAGTCCCTTGGCTCACTCTCCTGGACAACTCCGACTCATCAAAGGATAACCCATAAATCCTCCTCTATTTTGTTCCATGCCGAGGTAATAGGGATTTTTCAACTCGACTGGCCTAACACGTCAAGCCAAGTCTGAGCATCGACAAATAGCATTTGCCTATCGTGGTCCACAAAAGACCACACTCCCATTGGGCTTATGTTCCACTATATCTGATAGTTATTACATGCACTCATACGGCCTTTAATGGCCACAGAAACCCAACGCACAGATCTTGAATTTCAAATAGTGTCGAAGCAAATTTCTGTGGCATCCTTTGTTGCCCTTTACACCATCCTATCACATTTAGTGAATCTCCTTTTGTAATGATATTTGAATAGCCATCCCCCATTAACTTCAGTCCATAACAATAATTTTCATTTCTGCTTCATTTGCTGTATCATAACCTACTGGTCGAATGTGAGAATTTGATGACTCCACATTATCTCTAACCAAACAACCCAGCCTTGCCTTGTCAGGACTTCCACACAAACTCCCATCAAGTTTGAGCTTTGCACTCCATTCTGATGGTGGAGTCCAAATTCCCCCTTACACATCACCCTACCTGACATTTAGACACAATTTGCTATTGTTTCCTAAATTCTATCAATAACTCTACTCACCTCTTATTTCTTATAATCAAATGTACGTCTTCTTCTTTCCTTCCATATCTCCTACATAATGGCCGCTCTCATATGACTTTCCCTTGTTGATGGCAGTAGTGGAATATTCAAATGATCAAGTACATTCTTGTTCTATCTAGGAAGAGGTACTTGGATGTTCATTTGCTGAAGAGCCCAATCCCACATCTCAAAAATAAATTATTAATGGTTTTTTGATCATCCTTGCATGTGATACACACACATTAGAAAATACCTTACTTTGTTTCCTAGCATGATCATACTAATTCTCTTGCAGAGGGAGAGATCATTTTCTTAATGCAAATCATGGGAATTTCTGAACTTTATTGTTCCGTGCTTAATTGGATGGTAACGAATTTGCATGGCCATCATTACTTTTAGAGCAGTAAACAGGTCGGATCCGGAATCTAGTAAAGGACCCGTGAGGTCCACTCCCCCACTACAACCACACACACACATTTATAGCACGGTCAAGTCAAGGCAGACCTGAATAGTCCGTTTGCACCCTGACCCGGCCCACCGGATCTAGCTTTTGGGACGAAAACAAATTCGATTAACACGCCTATTTACTTTGGCTGACAAATCTGCAGTTGTACCATGATGGTTGGGTGGAATTTGGGAAGACGTTTCTTGACCATTAAACTATCCTAAAGGAGAAAACTTGTTTATTACAGCATTCATTTCTCACAAATGTCTCTTATACCTCTTGGATGCAAATATGGAGGCTGATGTGTTGGTGAGCTATGGTGTACCTTGGAATGCCATTCTATGGCATTTCTTGCTACCATATGCGCCTCTGCCATCTATTTTGTCCTCTTTTATCCTTTGAATTTCCCTATACTTCCATGTTGTTTCTATCATATAATTGTATTAGCCGTCGAAAATTATTTCATGTTGCAAAAGGAAGTTAGTTAGATGTTCAAGTTAGTTATTTCATGATCATAATGACCTTTTCTCACCATTTCCATTTTATCAATTGTGGCAAAGCGGTTGGTTAGCAGAGGCGCCTCTGCTACCATTTTATCAATGGCATTTCTTGCTACCATTTTATCAATTGAAGGCTTTAGCCATCCAACTCCTAGTGACAATTTGGATGGTAGAGAGTGTGTTATTTTAGTGAAAAGAGTGGAAAGGATCGGGTTGTTGGGCATGCTACAGTGTGTTATTTTTAGTGAAGAGAGTGGATAGGATGTAGCTGTGTGGGAGTTGGATCCTTCAGAAAATTTTCTATTGTAATCCAAAATACAAAGTACATGTTCCTTAATGAAAAAATGAGGATACTTTTCCTTTAAGGAGTTCTGGAAGGAGAGTTCAAGAAGAATATCAGCTTTCTTTTGGCTCAAGTATAAAGATAAAAGTCATTCTTACTGGTGAACGGCTTCATTTGGATGACTATCATTAACATGTGACTTTTTTCTGTAGGAAGGATAATCACCTTCTCACTTTCTTATATTTGAAAAGGAAATAAAGAAAGGACAACCTCCTCCTCTTTAACTTATCCCATCTAATTCGCTTACTTTCAAACCCTTCAAAGCTACATGATACCTAACAACAGCGCAACATTGATGACTCATTTTCCATTTAATTATAGAACATTGCAGAAAACAGAAAATTAGGAGGCTAGCAACCCCATTTTCAAACTCCCACTATGGTTTCCTTGAAATGCATGATGGTCAGATAATTGGATGACTCGGATCAAAACTATGCAAATCCAGATACTAAGATCAGCAGGGCAAAGAGATACACCTACCTGCTCTAGAAAGTTTGTCAAGTACACTGTCCTCATTGTTGAAGCTAAAGCTTAACAACATCTAAAAAAAGACCATGTAGCACATTTTAAAGTTTTGAATCTCTTCTGCCTCTTCATTGGAATCTCCTATACTATCAGGGTCCAGTTCAGACCACCTTCCACCTCAGAAAAGTGGAAAAACACTTACCATTTTCGTATTCTTAGTCCCCGGTGCCGGCTCCCACCTTCATACATACCCCTCTTCCTGGCATCCATCCATAGCTGAAAGTGTGTCCCTTTCTGATCGAGCTATCACACATAAAGTATAATAGCTGCAAACCTTCCTTCACGGCCTTATGCTACAGTAATCTGGTTTTTCATCTAGAGAATATTGTGTCATGAATATGCTGTCATATTTCATAGATTATCCTTTGTACATTGATTTTCCCATTTGCAGCTAGCTTTCGTGGTTCTGTTAGTTTGTTTGCAAATCCTACTTGCTCTTGACTGAATGTTTGTGTCCTTTTTTCTTGCTTACATTCTGATCTATTTACAGGCACAGGACTAGCTGCAGTTTTTATCAATCTAGCTGTTGAGAACTTCGCTGGTTGGAAGTTTGCAGCGACACTTTCTATAAATCAACATTCATACTTTGCGGGTTTCATTGTTTATGCATTCTCCAACCTGGCTTTGGTCTTTTCTTCTGTTTTCATTGTCACGCACTTTGCGCCGGCTGCTGCAGGTTCTGGTATTCCTGAAATTAAGGGATACTTAAATGGTAAGCTTTAATTTGTTTATTCATGCGTTTCAGCGGTTTATCAAGTAATTGCTGCCTTTGATAGGAACTTGTTAATGATCTCTGATAAGTCTGATATACCTGAGCAGGTATTGATACCCCTGGAATTCTTCTTTTCAGAACACTAATTGGGAAGGTCTGAGTGTGTATTATTTTTATTATTGCTTTGTTTGTTGAATTTTTTTTGGCTCGTGGCTTTACTTATCTAAGGCTATCTTCATTAATTCTTGTTCTATAGATATTTGGAAGCATTGGTTCGGTGGGAGGTGGTCTGGCTCTTGGCAAAGAAGGTCCTCTTGTCCACACAGGGGCTTGTATTGCTTCTCTGCTTGGACAAGTAAATACATATTACTTAGCTTGCTCCAGTGAAATACAAGTACTTAATTCTATTAAAAAAAATATAACTGGTAGATTATTATGGAGGCCTTGATCAATTTACCATCCTAAGAAAACTACACTGTGCTTTTAGATGCATCTCTTTTTCCCCATAATGACCATGCTTCTAGATGCATCAGAATACAAAACTGTGATTCTAGATGCATGAAGTCCATTACTTGTTTCTGAGAAGTGTTCCATCTATTAATTCTCGCATAACAGGGCCTATTTACATGTTTGTGCTATTAACTTGTACTTTTTTTTATAGTTTTTTTGTTGTTTATGAAGATATCCCCTGAAGTGTTTGAAAGTTCGTCTATGTTACTTATCCAAATTGAGATAAACTTCAAGGCTATGCGAATTACATTTGTTCCCTAGGACTGTCAGTGTATGAGCCTGGTGTTGTCTATTAAGCCTTTGCTCATGAGGAGGACATGGTGGAGCACTCCTCTATTTGCTTGTTTGTATTGGTGTTTACTTGGGATGGCTGGAACAACTAAGCCATGAAACTATGTTAACCATGCTCTCTACTAAGTATTTGGTTTATGGAGAAGGAACAATGTGCCTTTCTGTGGAAGATCATTGAGTTGTAACACTTGATCATGGTTAGATGCCATCATGGGCTTAACTGTGACTGGTAATGGTCGGCACTGAAAGCTCAAACATTTGGGACTTTTTGAAAGATCACGAGCCTTTCATTGTTCTAAATGGAATCAAGAAGAAGAAGAAAATGAAGGCCTTTGCTAGTTCCGAGGGCCCTGTTGGCTACAGGGAACATTGGCATGGCTCCTGTGCAAACATTTGTCGACTATTTCTCCAAAGAAAAGGAAAAAAAAAAAAATCTTGTTTGTTCCATGGGGGATATAGACATAGTTGATTTTTCTGCTCTATGTTGTCATGACTCTGTCCACATCAATTGAAAGAGTGGCTGGATCTAAGGGTGCAACTGAGAGGGGTTGAAGGGAGGATCAGCTTGATGACGGAGAGGAAGCGTAATAGGAGGAGCATAAAAAATTGATGGGATGTTAACCCCTCCTACTTTTTTAATTATTGAAGTGTTCATGGGTAATTTTTTTAATTATTGAAGTGTAGGCATAAATTGAACGCCTATTGGTAAACATGAGGGTCTTAATCCAAGGAAAGCTGGGAGTCTTACCTATTGACAAATCCTTAACAAAAAAAGGTGCTTGTGTGTGTGCATGTGTGCGTGTGCTAAGTTTTATCTTATAGCGTTTTGATTGTTGGTCATAGATCTTGGCTTTGATAGTTGTCTTTTGTCATCCATGTAGTTAAACTAGTCCTTTTCTAAAGCATCTTAGGAATTTCTTGAATACAATAAGAATGAGAAATGATCTATTTACTTATTCCTGTTTGGTGGAGAGGTGCAAAGTCTCCTAGGTGGCATAATTTTATTCATTTGGTTAATGCATGCCTTAGTGCATTTGTACATATCTTGCTTATACTTTTAACCTGAGGGGTTTGCCTTAGTTAAGATGCATGCTTTGAGATGATCTAGCTGATGCTTGTAACTACTTTGATCTGCAGTGCCTTTGGGATCATCTTTTTGCCATGTCATGTTGAATTTGGTTCATTGTGAGGTAGTCATCCAATTCTTACAATTATGAATTCATATGCAGGGTGGATCCACTAAGTATCATATTAGCTCAAGATGGCTTCAAGTGTTCAAGACTGATCGAGATCGCCGTGATCTTGTTAGTACTCTCCACGTCTTCAATTTCTCATTGCTACATGTGTGAAACTGCACTTATGAAATGTGCTTGGGAATTAACATTTCAGGAAAACTTGATTTCGAAGTAACCTGCATCTGCCCTTTTAACCATATACTTCATTGAAAGCTAACTATTCGCTTCTCTGAACTTGATGATTTGTTTTGTATACTTTTGTATTCCTTCTGATCAGTTGCTGTCAAGCCACTTCTGTCGTAGTGTTTGTTTTGTCGAAGATTCTAATGTTTATATACTACCTAGTTTTTTCTGATTGTGCCCTGATTGATAGAAAGCTTGGACCTTTTCAATGCCATTAGTAATAACGAAAGTTGGAACTACGTGTGAATTTTCATGGAGGTGTACGGGATATGTAATATTTTTGTATCGTTGGCCTTGGTTGTTTATTTTGCATTATTTTGGTCTTTTCCCCTTGCAAGGATAATATTTTTTTCTTTAATACATGGCCATATAGATTCACATTCTATAATCCAGTTGTCTTTATCGATATTGTATAATATTCATCGGTAAAAATGTGCTTTTTTTTTTGTGAACTACTATTTGCCTCTTCTATAAACTCGATATGCTTGTTTCTTTTTAAGCTTGTAGCTTGAACCTGAGCTTAGACTTTTATTGTCATATATATATAGATAGATAGCTAGGAAAAGTCTTCCCAACACCTATAGGCGAAAATGAACAGTGATTTCGCCTACCCTTATCATCGTTCAAAGTTCTACGTATGGTCACGATTTTTCGGTAGTGTTTCATTTTTCATTTTTTTTCTACAAATCAGAATGACCTGAAATTTGGAGCTTGTGTACATCTTAGTGAGGTGCACTTAATAAAAAAAAAAAAAAAAAAATTCGCGAAAAACAAATTGATTAAAATACCCCCAAAACTTTTTAGGGGTATTTTGGTCAAATTGTTTCATGTAAAATATTTTTTTGATATTTTTTGGAGATTCTCCTATTTTTGATGAACACACACTACAAATTTCAGGTCATTCCGATCTGTAGAAAAACAAGAAAAATGAAACACTACCGGACAAACCTGACCGTGCGATGAATTTTGGACGGTGATGAGAGTAGGCGAAATCATTGTTCACATTTGCCTATAGGCGTCGGGAAGAGTTTTCCTATATATATATGGAAGATACTACATGTGCCTATAGGCGAAAATGAACAATGATTTCGCCTACCCTCATCACTATCTAAACTTCATCGCACGGTCATAATTGTCTGGTAGTGTTTCATTTTTTAATTTTTTTCTACAAATCCAAATTACTTGAAATTTGGAGCGTGTGTATATCTTAGTGAGACACACCTAATAAAAATAAGAAAAAAGAATTCGCAAAATATAAATTGACCAAAATAGCCCAGTAAATTTTTGGTGGTATTTTGGTCAATTTATATTTTACGAATTATTTGTTTTATGTTTTTATTAGATGCGCCTCACTAAGATGTACACACGCTCCAAATTTCAGATCATTCTGATTAGTAAAAAAAAGAAAAAGAAAATTGAAACACTACCGGACAACTGTGACCGTGCGATGAAATTTGGATGTTGATGAAGGTAGGTGAAATCACTGTTCATTTTCGCTTATAGGCGTTTTTTAGTATCTTCCATATATATATATATATATTTATATCAGTGGTTTAAAAAACGGATCGGTGCCCCGGATCGGGCACTCCAAAAACCCATCTGGATCGGTGAATCGGCGATACGGATCAGGAATTGGCTGAATCGGTTGGATTAAGCTTTAAAAAAATTCCAAAAAAAGTATTAAAATTCGTTATAAATATTATCTTTTAGGAATCCAATAAGAAATGAGGGTACTACATTATTAACTTTTATTTTTTTCATCAATTTGTGAATATTGAGATGCTCTTTCCCTGTATAAACTTATGTTAACCATTAAATTCGCATCACATAAAAGAAAAATCATAGAATTATCATGGATAAAATATATAAATATATATGGACTATAATAAAGAGTAGACTAAATCAATGAAAGAATGGCCATTAAAATCTCGTTTTGGTGAAAAACCCTAATCCGCTAAAAAAACCCAAATTATTACAGCCTAACTAACTATAATCCAAAATTATTACAACATAACTAATTATAATATTATAGACTGAAATTATAATTATTAGTTTAAATTTTATAATTATTTTATTAGACAAATAATAACAAATTAAAAATATTTTATAATATTTTCTAATTTAAAATGATTGACAACTGTAAGAAAAATAGTACATTACATGATTTATAATGTAAAAAGTAATAAATAAAATAAAAGGTTTGGTTATCAATTTAAAAATTAATAAAATGAGAACAAAATTTGAAAATAACACTTTAAATTTCAAAAATTTAATTTTTTAGGTTTCTATAATAAATTTAGTGAAAGAGATTGTTAGTAGAAAGAGGGAGATTTCAAATAGATTAAACTTTTATTTTTCATTTTTTTATGCCTTTCATTCTATTTACAAAAGTAATTATACCACTATATACAACAAAAATTAACTGCTATACAAAAAATTGACTTTTTTATTTTTCATATTTTTATGCCTTTTATATTATTTACAAAAATAATTATACCACTATATACAACAAATATTGACTATTATACAACAAAAATTAATATAATATGTAACGCCCAAGGGGATTCGACCTTGGGACGTCAAAGAAAATAGCGGAGGTCATAACCATCACGCCTCCTCGCCGCATGTGATTATATGCTGCCTATTAATAGAATAAATTTACATTCTGTTTTCATTTAATGATGTTTGGGAATTATCCCACATCGAAGGATGGGTATTCAACTTTGCTATATAAATAACTATGTAATATGATATGAAGCATACGCACGGAAACACTAGGGCAACCCTACGTGTGATATGTGCCACGTGATTTTTTTGCACGTGTCCGCGTGTCCGTATCAGAGTGGTGACGTCAGCACGTGTTTGTGTAGAATCGGAGTGGTGGCGTTAGAACCGCCGGTTTATGATGTCATCGGGTGGTTCACTATTTAAAATCGTTTAAAACCGCTCGGTTCTCTCTAGACACGGGTGGTTTCGTGTATTATGCTAGAATCGAAACGGGGCTGCCGATTCCCGTGTCAAACCGGGCGAGTCCGGTTCGACTCGCCGACTTTTCAAACACTGATATATATATTTATGAGCTTAAAATATTGGCTCGTGAATACATTATATATATATATATATATATATATATATATATATATAGAGTACTTATTCTTAGTAATAACTTATTAGTTAGGTAATAACTATTATTAGTTAGTTTTGTTTTTTGGTTTTTTTGGGTTAGTACGTAGTAGGTAGGG